CAGAAGGGCATTTCGCTGCCTCGGAGTACACTAGACAAACTATGCGTGTTCGAGACAGATCTATCGAAACCCCATCTCGGTCTATCGGACGAAGAATACAGTTACATACTAGATAATGTCACCCACATCATCCATAACGCGTAGCTTATGAACGCGAAATGGCCCGTCAAGCGCTTCGAACCGCAACTACAAATCATGCGCAACCTGTTAGACGTCGCAGGGGCTGTCTCAAGTCGACAACCAACGGACCAGAAAAGAAAAGTCATCTTCCAGTTTGTGTCATCCATCGCGACCGTCGGACATTGGCCCATCTGGACAGGAAACCCGTGTGTGGCAGAGGAACGGATGGAGCTCGAATCTGTGCTGCCGACGGGTTATGGCGATGCCAAATACATCTGCGAACTCATGCTCGACGCAACACTGCACCGCCATCCCGACCGTTTCGAGGCGATGGTCGTTCGACCAGGGCAGATCGCCGGATCAAGCGCCAGCGGGTACTGGAATCCCATGGAGCATCTTTCATTCCTGGTTAAATCGTCGCAGACATTGCGGGCGCTGCCCGATCTCACTGGCCCGCTGTCCTGGACGCCCGTCGACACCGTGGCAGGTACTCTCGGAGATTTACTATTCACGCCGCAGCCATACGCTGTTTATCACATCGACAATCCGATCAGGCAGCCGTGGGAGGCAACCCTGCGAGTCCTCGCGACAGCGCTAGACATCGAGAATAACACCATACCGCTAGACGAGTGGGTACAAAGGGTCAAGGATCATGCCCGTGCCCAGGAGAGAGGCCGCGAACATGAAGGCGATAATCCGGCTATTTTACTTGTTGATTTCCTCGAGGATAATTTCGTCAGGATGTCTTGTGGTGGTTTGCTGCTTGATACGGCCCGCGCTCGTGAGCACTCCAAAACGCTGACCGCCTGTGGCCCTGTTAGCGAGAAATTAGTTAGGCTTTTTGTGAATAGTTGGAGGAAGATGGGGTTCCTGCGATAGCTATCTCTATTGATTTCCTTTCTTTTAGACTTCTTTTCTTCGCCGTGTTTGGTAGGTGTATGTACTCGCCTGTTGGGTATCTTGTCGTTTCACGACGTATATCGCGGGTGGATCACAGAAGTCGTTGTCAGGACGTCGAAATCGGTGTTCCTCTGTAGTCACCGGTCTTTCTGCGGAGTTTTTTTCTCTCGTTTTTTTCCCCCATTGTTGGATGGTGTAACACTCGCTTTACTGGCTTGGTTAATCATATTTGAACAGTTTGTCGTGTTGTGGAAATTATAATCAATTAACGAGGCTGATCAGATTCGTGCATGCACTTTCTATTGATTGAAGTCTCGCAAATGTTAAGTGATTTGTGGATAGGGAGATAGATACACTATGTCCACACGTATCGGATCTCCTAGAACTATCACGAGTGAGAAAAGCGAAATCGCAAACTTTAATAATGTCAAACCACTTGGCGTGATTGGCAACCGTCCGGCGAACACTTACCAAGCAAACTAGGGGAATATTGCAGGAACCAGATAGTTAGCCTCCTTCCTGCCAACCTTGGGTTGATTTCACAATAACGTCTGCATAGCTGATTGTCACATTCGACTATAGACGCCACCTCTCCTTCCGGATGTTTCCAAACAGCCTTCAAATGTAGGTCGCGCAAGATGTGCTAATCTAGGTAAAAGCAAGGCAGCAACATGGTTGCGACATGCATACATGCACGAGCTTGGGTAACAGATCAAAGGCAGAACATTGGAGAATATCTTCTTCACGTCACCACACACAGTGATGATCGCAATGAAAACGAGAGAAAAACATCAAAAATTACGGAGATTGGGACACACGAGGCGTCGACAAAAGGCGGAAGGCGACCACGATGTGCAATGCAGGCCCGCCAACCCTGAGGATGGGGATTATTGAGCCCCCTTCTCTCCCTCCAAGGTAAGTATGAAGAAGAAAAGAGAAAGAAAAGGTTGAAGAGCTGGGAGAGCAGGCAGATATATATAGAGAAATTGAAGGCGGTGGGCATCGGCAGAATTGACGGGTGGATCTCAATGGGAGCCTTAGCTGTGGGGTCTCACTAGAAGGACCTACTGTGTACTTAAGTACCTCATTGAAGAAATAAATAAGATGAAAGAAGCACAGAACAAAGAGTTCAATGCTGGCATTCAGTATTAAAAACTTGGTATAGCAAACAGTCTACACTACATCACAATACGGTGGAGATCCTGAATGGGCGAAAGCGAGCTCCAAGGATCAAAAATCTCGCCTGCTGACAGACTGTACTATATCTGTAGGCAAATTTCGAAAAAGGTAACAGTTACCGTCCTCCCTTATCTCAATAACGACCTCTGCGACTGGAGCCAAAGCCTGCGATAATCATGTGACAGTACCTAACATCAGGTAGTCCCAGAATGCAGTTCAACAAGATGGTATTCCGGCAGTTCGGGTACATTAGCATGCAATTCAACAAGATGGTCATCTGGCATCTCCCTAATGATTCCCGCTCCATCTGTTTTTTGTATCTCGTTCACTTCAGGCGGATCTATACCTTTTTCTGGTTTGTCGTCGTAGACTGTGGTGCCCTGGAGAACCGCCGTTTCCACACTTTTTAATCGGCGCCGAAAATGCAGAATAAGCCACGTCAGAGCCACAATTATTCCCAGTCCGAATATGCCGGAACCGACACCAATTCCGGCCTTGGCGCCCGGAGACAGGCTACCATTGCTGCCTGAATTCATTGAAGGAATAGAAGTGCCATTGTTTGTTCCATTGCAGACAAGGTTGTGAATTTTATTCTCGTTCTTTAGAGATTCCAACGCCGAATAGTTGAATTCAGCGTTCCAGGCTTCAACGACCACGGTCCCACGGGCGAGTGTTAAAACTGGAAAATGTTAGGGCCAGTGGAACTACACATATTAATTAGCTTAGCCGGTTCACTGGCTTCCGCTCCCAAGGGCCCTTACGTGTCGATATATCTTCTCAAGTGTACATTTTCCACCGTCTCCAACTCGGGGAAAAGGGGAAGTATTGAGTCAGGGTTGTCCAGCAGAATCAGATTCGTGGCTGTTGAAACGTGGTCGAAATTAAATGTACAGTTTGTGTTGCTGGAGATCACAAGACTGCTCCCAATATCTGTGAGACCACCAAAACTTACATTCACGCTTGCGTATGAAGTGATATTCAAGTCTTTGCCAATTTGAGAGACGCGGTCAAACGCCAGATCAGGATAAGGAGCTGTCGCGGTAATGTGGACCCTATAGTCACGTGATCCACACCGCTATATAAGGTGATCTGCTCAAATAGACTGACGGAGATCACACACATCCATAGACCATTCAATAGAGCACTATTCGTCCCCTGTAAGAAGCGCTACTCCGTCACAGGAGCTTCATTGGCTTCGTTGTCGAGAATCATGGATTCATTAACCAGGAGGGGCCCGAAGGAATCGACATCGGCGAGAAGAGCAGTTCGGAAGTTCGCGGCGTTTACAAGACTCAGGTTACCGACTGACTTGAGGTTCTGGAATTGATAGTTGCAATCCACAACCCCAACAATCCTAAAATCGCCAATAGCCTCGAGTCTAGCGGTGTTCAAGCAAGAGTCGGTCTGAATCGAAAGAGCAGTAACGACACTAGCAGGCACATAGTAGTCGTTTGCGACGCTTGGCAGACCTAGCAACTCAAGGTTTCCGAAGGATGTTGCGTTTCTGTAGAGGGTGAGCAATTTTGGCGCGTTAGTGATGTTTAAATCAAGAGGAGTTAGATTAAACGAATATGCTCCATTTTCGGTGTACGAGATGTTTCCCCCTATAAGCCGTGGAAGTAAGAGCTCATCGAGAGAGGTGGCATCGCTTATTTGCAACAAGTTAAGAGAGAAAGGTCGAAGAACTTCTAGAATTTGAAGCCCTAGGCTATTACTGACACTTATTTTATCCCATGACCCGGTTACGTTGGTGAAGTTTAATGTTCCCTCTGCTTGCTGGATGTTGATGCTGCCACAGGGAGAAGAGGCCAGCCTGTCAGCATCGCCTTGATTAGTGACCGTAAATGTCGTACCCGGACAGTTAGACATCGTTTGTTTAAAGGGAATGAGCTATACCCAAGGAATTTATTCAATCTAAGTAGAATGGGGAGAATTGGGCGCATTTTTCAAGTCATGGACGCGATTTACAGTGCAACGCTAAATCTGGAGCGATTCTTGAATCGAAAGTACGAGGAGAGGCGCTGTTTTTTTTTCAGCTTTGCCAGGGGTAACGTATGACAAGCAGACACCAACGACGTTCCTTGAAGTCGGAGCCTGCCCCGATGATTTACAGGACTACTTCATATTACGGTCAATGGAAAATGCTGGCTACCAAATCTGGCGCTAAAGTCCTGCAGATCCCCTATTTGGAAGGTTGGGGATGGTTTTAAGACTCTGGCTTCATAATCCCAAGAAGTTTGCAACGATTAATTAACTCAAGTGCCTGCATTGGGAACACTGTGATTTCAACGGATATAAAATAGGAGGCCCCCTAGCAAGCGGTTTTAATTTGAAACGATCTGCCAGAAACACGCCGAATGGTGGTCTTGCGCAGCCTCACGTATATGGTCAAGAGGTAGCTAAAGATGGTACCAGCAATAGGACAAGGGTTAATGTTCTACAGAAAATAGGTGCCTAAGCGCCCTATTAGGAAGTTATTGGATTATGAATAACGTGGTGTAGAATGACATTACAAATAGTTGCCAACTCTCGCACTGCGAACGATGTCTAACGTAGACGGTGGCGCTTTAAGGTCTTTTTTCTCCCTAGTGTCCGCTTGAACGAGGGTAAGAGGCTTGTTGAAATATATACGTGAGACTTAAAGAACCAAATTTTCATGAATTCAGACGGCAATGGGCCTGTCGCTCGGCTAATGAGGTGGAATTAAGGGGATTGAAGCCGCCGTATCTTCAATTTTTCACTGTTCCTCATCTTCACTGGTGATATGAAGGTTGGTACACAGAACTTTCGTATTCAAGCAAGCCCTGGTAGCTCAATTGGTTAGAGCGTCGGACTTTTATTAGTCCTTGTACTTATAAGAAGCCATCCGAAGGCTGCGGGTTCGACCCCCGCCTGGGGCGCTAGCTACACTTAATTTTGTCCGCTACGACATCACCATCATTTATTTTTCCATTTATTAATTTCTCTCTTTCATTGTATGCCTGGTTGGAAAGGTTTCTTTCATGTTACATAGATTGCATTGTCATACTGTGCCTAGACTCTTCTGTCTTTGTACATATAGCACTATGTTTTAACATGCTGCTGCATAAGGGGAAGGATACCCAATATCCTGGGTCAAGGCAATTCATAATACCCTTGATTTTCATGGTTTATTTTCTCATTTAAAGATGGTCAACGGGAACTGGTCCGCGATAGCCTGATAGCCCGCAGGGTTCGGGTGCAGATGATCACCGCCGTCATATTGCGCGGCCAGGTTAGCCGGGGTGGACGGGTTGGCGAGGAACTTGGCGAAATCGATCGAGGCGGTAAAACTGCCGTCACCACCGGCTAGAATCCACTTATTCACGGTCTGTCGTGCTGAGTCACGGGTCGGATTACTGTATGCCTGTCCATTGCCCCCGAACGGCGTGATCGTGGCGCCGAACATCGTGATGCCGGCAGCCTTGGCTTCTGTCGAGATCGTCTTGAACGCGGATTGGAGGCTGCTGCTGATGCGCGACTGCGTACCCGAGTCTGCTGATCCGCCGCCGATGTCGTTTACGCCTTCGAAGATTAATCCGTATTTCACACCCGCTGTGCTGAGCAGATCACGCTTGTAGCGCTGCATCAATGGAGGACCTAATCCGCCGGATAGAACCGTGTTGCCGCCTGCTGCTTGGTTAACCACGGCAAGATTCGTGATATTCTCCTTCTGCATTCTCGCTAGAAGCAGGTCAGGCCATCTATTATGCAGCTTGGTCAGTCTTAAGGCATCATCATTTCACATTGTTATTTGTCTAACCGGTTGTTCTTGTTGTCGTCGCTACCACGACCATCTGTAATGCTATCGCCGAGAATTACTAGGGCTGCTGTTGACTTGGGAGCCCAAGCCTCCACCACATTCACAAAGTACCAATGTGCTGTGCTCGCTCCAGTTACGGTAGAAGCATTGACGTGGTTTCCTTGTTGCATCCATGAGGTCGTGCGACTGCCAGGATGGCCCGTAATGCTGGTTCCGGACTGACCAGCTTGAGAATAGAGAGTCACTGTGATCATAGACTGCGGCGCAATTTTGACATCGATAGGGTCCGTATATGCCACCTGGCCCTGAGGTATGTTCACTGAATTGGAGCCGTTGAAAGTGAGTCCCCTGAGGGTCGTAGTATCGATACCATTCACACCAGCTTGGCCACCTGTCGGTAAAGCTAGGGACGCGGCTGTGATAGGCAAGGCACTGCCACCGAAAGTGTTGGAGATCTGAATACGGATCCTCTCGGCACCAATGGACATGTGAAGTGTTTGTCTAAGCGTAGCATCTCGAAACACGCCGGATCCCGTCTATGGTGGATGTAACATTAGGCATTGAGTCCTACAGATTTCAACCTCGTGAGACTGTTGTTGTTACTTACGAAGGGAGACGGAGGCAGATTGTTCTGTTCAACTAACTGCGGCATCGACGCCCACGTGGCGACCCAGTGAGAATCGGCATCTTGTCTCCGCCCCAGCTTCTCGACATCTAGCGGGGATCCGACCACGTATGTTGTCCATAACAGACAAGCTGCTATGGATGATAATTTGAGTCTCATGTCCGCCCACATCTCCAATTCAATGAGCGAATGCCGAGCTACGTATGTATGGTCCCTGATGCGAACACAGAGGACGCCAAGGCAATGGCCATTCGAAACAGCATGGGCGTCGATTGGGGTATTTATTCCGTTCTTGAAGCATGATGCTGTGGGGATTTTCCCAATTACGGACAAGCAACCTCCGCTCCGTCGACAACATTTAGCCGTAGCTAGCGTCTATTCCGGATGATATGATAATTCCATATACATCTTTATAGCTGAGTTGCTAAAACTGAATAAATAAGTTTGAATAGGCCAAATGCCAAACTTGGAGAGATGAAACCATCGCGAATAATAAGTAGACGGAGCCGTGAGGGGCCTTTGCATGACGGCATGTTTCGCTGTATTGCTTGTGCAGGTTGTTGTTACTTAGCCAACGGCGTAGATGACAACGAATGTGACCATGAATGTGAGTTCGATTGTATTTACAGTCAGTCAGTAGCACTTACAATAGGGAAGCTTGCGTCTCGGATATTCTCATCTCCCATCATCTCAATAGCGGTGCAAAAGACGAGTTGGGTCAGGTCGGACAGTTATCGTTTACACAGGACAAGAGTCCCAGGTAGCACGAGCCAGCCACAAACACCATCTCGGCTGCAAGTACGGGTATATCATGCATGTATATGTATATATGTGGGAATACAGGTGCCAATTTCGAGATACTAGTAGGCAAGGGTATAGCTGATTCTCTCCCGCATTTGACTAAAGACTAAGGATGCTTACGCAGCCGACCATACAGTAACTAGCTATGCATACATAGATGGTCCCTTTCGTTTGATGCGGTAGAGAGACGTGGTGTGGGCAGATGTTGCCATTGGTCCGAGAACCACATACACGAATTAGAACGGCGGTGAGCTAGGACAAGAAGAATCGTCAAGCCGATGTATATAGTATAATAATCGATTATGTGTAGATATTATTTGGATTTGACTGGTAGGATCAGATGTTTAGGAAACAACACATGAAGGCGGATATAGGGCGTCTGTCATCATGTCATTATGTACATATGTTATTACATGCGTTCGTTGTAGAGAGCTAATTTAAAGGGCGTAGTGTAAAACCATCATGACAGGTACACTAACTGCACGGTACTTAGGTACCTACATATTTAGTTAGATACATATACTACCTACTAACCGTAGAAAGGTACATACATGTTTGTAGGATGATTATGCTGAGATTCGGATATTCTGTGATTGGTATGAATGACCTATCGATAGCATGCAAATGCCCCTCTCCGTCACCGGCTTCGTTCGAGCTCAACCCAACTTACAACCACAAACCACCAACCTACATATCTGTTTATTTAGAGCGTGTAGGCCAATTGGAAACCCATCGGCTCCCCCTTCTACTTTCCTTCATTGCATTTATTACATTGAGTTTGAATATTATTATTTATTTTCTTTCAATCTTGAGTCCTCTGTCAAGGAGCTAGCTATACTAGACCTAGGTAGCTTGAAGTATCTAGCTACTGTAAGTGTAAACCCCACCTTTCGGCCCCTCCCCTCTTTCTGGCATGTGCCCCTCCAAACGAGGTACCCTATATACAAAATCAGGTAGGTAGGTACTTGGGCAGGTTCTCGCCGACTCAGGACCCCTCCCACTTACACTAACATGTGTACCAAGGACTACCTCGTACGTTAGGTACTCACTTGTGACTTTTTTTTCCTCCCTTTTTCTTATATGACTGACTCATTTCTCAAGATAGATTGTATCCAAGAAAACAATCTACGATATCATATTTCCTTTACTTTGCCCTACTTCTCTTATTACCTGTATCTCGCTTATTTCGTTCCATCTTTTATACTTCCTCTCGAGATACCCCCGCCATCCCCACCAACCATCATTCCCTCTCAGCTGATACGATCCAATTCGCAATCCAACTTGAACCAACCTAAACCAATATCCACGTCATCCCGAGGACTCAGCTTATTGTCGTGGTAGCCAAAACGAGCTTTCACCGGCCACACAGTCTAGCATCAGCTTGACTATCGCAACCCTCGAGACACATAAAGGACCAGTCACTTTCCTGTATTATTCCCGTTGGGTCCCAACCGTCAGCATTAAACAGCATGCCGGGTGTCGACATGGAGCCGCTCAAGGCTGATGATATGAGAGGTGTGTCGTTTTTCCTTCCCTTCCGTTTTTTCTTATTGCTTGTGCATCCGTGCAGTAGTTTGCTTGTTTTGCTTTTTATTTATTTATTTTTTAAAAAAGTAATTGGTTGTATGGTTATTATCCTCTCGACAATTGACTCTATGGATCAATTGGACGTTTTGAGAAGCTCTCCCCCTTGCTCTATAGCTACCTAGATAGAGCTCTACGCACGATTGCATCTGTGTCAAGTCTATCGTGAGTGTTCATAATGCTGATATACACCGACACTCCAGTCCTGGGTCAGGATCCTCTGATCCCGCCTGCTCTCCTCATCTCGGAAATTCCCATGACCGATGCTTCACTCCAGACTGTCGTCAAGGGCCGCCGTGAGGCCGTCTCCATCATCATGGGCCGCAATGATCGGCTCTTGGTCATCGTCGGGCCCTGCTCTATTCACGACCCCGCTACTGCACAAGAGTACTGCCAACGCCTAAAGGCCCTGTCCGACAAGTTATCCGACGACTTGTGCATCATTATGCGCGCCTACCTAGAGAAGCCTCGTACCACAGTTGGCTGGAAGGGCTTGATCAACGATCCCGATATCGACAACAGCTTCAAGATTAACAAGGGACTCCGCTTATCCCGCCAGATGTTCGGCGATCTGACGAATGCCGGCATGCCTATTGCGAGTGAGATGTTGGATACCATCTCTCCTCAGTTCCTTGCAGACTTCATCTCCGTGGGCGCCATCGGTGCTCGAACCACTGAGTCCCAGTTGCACCGAGAGCTTGCCTCCGGTCTGTCCTTCCCCATCGGATTCAAGAACGGCACCGACGGGAACCTAGGAGTCGCCATCGACGCCATCGGAGCCGCCGCCTCGAGGCACCACTTCATGGGTGTCACCAAGCAGGGATTGGCTGCCATTACCAGAACCTCAGGCAATGAGCACGGCTTCGTCATCTTGAGAGGTGGCACAAAAGGTCCCAACTACGACAAGGAGAATATCCAATTGGCGAAGGAGACTTTGACAAAGAAGGGCCAAAAGATGGCCATCATGGTCGACTGCTCACATGGTAAGTTGATTATGCCTCATCCGGCGATTGGCTATAGGTGATTAGGAAAGCACTTCATATCAAGCTAACTAAGAGCTAGGTAACTCAAATAAGGACCACCGAAACCAACCTAAGGTGGCCAAGGTT